GTAAAAAGTGAAAATGTGCAGTTGTTACTTTCATCCAAAGCAAATAACAGTGAATGTAGAGGATATATTTTATCAGTCCATGTGTTACCTAAGAATTGAACCCATGTCCTTGGTGTTGCTAGCGCCATGTTCCATGAGTCGCGCTACAGAAACACCTCTTAAGGAGCTTTTTTTTTCTTTTTTTTTACCCATCTGACCCTTAAAAATGACTTTCTCTGGTTCAACCTCATGCGGTCAGGTTACAGTTGTATTATAAAAAATATGATATTTTTGACATTTGACCCTTTTTTACTTTGTCTTTCATGTCTACTGTTTTTTTTTTCTTTTGAAAGCATAATTAAGTGTTAATGAAAAATATCAAATACTGTGTCTGTCTGTTAGTATGTATTGTGTCTGTCTGTGTGTGTGTGTGTGTGTGTGTGTGTGTGTGTGTGTGTGTGTGTGTGCATGTTTATGTGGTTTGAGGACACAAATTTGTATAATAACATGGGTATGACATAGGTATTACAACGAGAAGGTGATTTATGAGGACATTTTCAGTGTCCCCATAATTCAAAAGGCTTATAAATAATTCAGAATATATATTTTTTGAAAATCTAAAAATGCAGAAAGTTTCCTGTAAGGGGTAGGTTTAGGGCTAGGGTTGGTGTAGGGCAATAGAAAATACGGTTTGTACAGTATAAAAACCATTATGCCTATGGAGAGTCCCCATAAACCATAAAAACAAATGTGTGTGTGTGTGTGTGTGTGTGTGTGTGTGTGTGTGAGCAATATACTGCCCCCTCAAGCTTCTCTGTTTTCCTGTAACCTAATTTCTCCATCAACAAACCAATGTGTCTGCTGTTCCCTCTGCTTTGAAGCTCAAATCAAGTTCCCTGCTCCGTTTGATCATTTCTTACCCTTTTTTTTCTTGAAGAATAACATGCTCTTTGAAGATTTGGCACATTTTGGTGACTCTGTGTGTGTGAATTAGTATCAGGGGTCTTCAGTCTTTTTCAGGATAAGGACCTCTTGGTAGACAGATTGATGACACAGGGACCCCCTCTACTCTTATTGACTGACTTATAAAATGTTATTACAGGGTTATAATAATGTTAATAGTACCAGTATTTAAAATATTGCATAGATAGTAAGGTAACACTTTACAATAAGATTCCATTTGTTAAAATTAGTTAATAACATTAGTAAACATGAAGTGACAATGAAAAACACTTTAAAAGCATTTATTAATCATAGTTAATGCTAATTTACATTTACTAATACATTATTAAAAACAAAAGTTGTATCTGTTCATATCAGTTAATGGACCTGAGCGAAGATGAACTGAGATGCTACAATATTTTTCATTTAAAAAATTGAAATAGTTTATATATACAGTATATATATATTCTCTCCATTTTCATTTTAATTTAAGTTAGTTTGTTTTGTCATTTTGAATAGTTTTTGTTTTATTTTTAATATGTTTATATAGTTTATATTAATATTATATTTCATGTTGGTAGATCAAGTTAAACTAATGAAAATTAGAAATGTCATGGCAACTAGCTGAAATAAACTTACGTTTTTTTTATATTATATTTATTTTTTTAAAAGGTTAATTTATTTCAAGTATTGTTTTTGAATGGTTTTAGTTCTAGTTAACTGCAATAACTCTGCAATGAACAGACTGATTACAAAGTTAGCTAATGTATTTAATTGTAAAGTGTGACCGGTAACACTTTACAATAAGGTTCTATTAATTAATGTCAGTTAATGTATTAACTAACATGAACGAACAATGAACAATACATTTATTACAGTATTTATTCATCTTTGTTAATGTTAGTTAATGAAAATACATTCACAGCGCATTAACTGTTAACAAGCACAACTTTTGATTTTAATAATGCATTAGTAAATGTTGAAATCAACATTAACTAAGATTAATAAATACTGTAGAAGTATTGTTCATTCTTAGTTCATATTAACTAAAGTAGTTAACTAATGTTAACTAATGAACCTTATTGTAAAGTGTTACCGTGTGACCAAATAATCATTATTAATGTACGTACAGAGTCACATGAACAGTATGGTTTATTTTAATTTAGCATTCTTTAGCATTGCTCAAAGTTCATATTTGAATAGCTTAATGCTGTTAATTTAATGCATATTGTCATGCTTTTGACTGAAAAATTATTTGAGATCAATAGCAATAATTGACAGACCCCCTGCGGTACTGCAGCTGACCCTAAAGAGCATGAACACAATACATTTGTTCCTGTGTTTTCTACAGGACTTCTAGTCCTGTCTTGTTTTTGTTCTGGATAGAATGTTACTTCAGTAAATTGTGTACATGAGAATGGCTGACTGTTTATTTCAGGTGGGTGTCTCCTCTGATATTGAGAGAGAAATGTAAATAAAGTAGCAGTATGAAGATTCGGTTTGTCTGGAATGCTTGACTATGAGGCGTCTGTTCTAATGACAGCAGTGGAACTTGAGGAAATAAAGCGTAACTCTAACAAAGGCGCTTTATCCCGGCACGTGGTCAGCGAGGATCCTCCCTGAGGCTGACAGGACAAGCAGAGCGAGATCCAAATGGTGAATACCTGAGAGGGGGTGTTGGCGGGGCAGTTTCAGGGATGGATGGGGGTAAATGGCTCTTTGAAGAAACGTGTAACAAGGAAGTGACCTTTGTCCCATTCTCACCCCATGGGAAGTTACTTACACAATGTCTGCGGTAACTCAGTATTGCAGTGTCTGAACCAGCATTGAGTTAATGATCTGCACTGAAGCCGACAGCAGTGAGCATGATTACACTTCAGCTTGTTTATCTGGGCTCATCCTCTAAGGATTAACCATATTCCTGGTTATTTGTTACTTACAGCAATGTCTATGGACGATGTTAATTAGCGCACATTTTGACTCATCCCTTTGCTCTTAACAAATATAAAACACAGTTACAGTAATACGCTTGCAGTACTAGCACCTTTTGGTACTGGTGGGTTTAAAAGCAGAAACATAAAGCTCATAATTTAGCTACTTTTTGGCACTTACACGAATTCCTTACAGAGAATTGTTTGGGCTGTAAAGTTGTCTCAGTTTGAGGAGGGAATAGATTTTTAAAAATACTTACCAAACCTGCATTTATTTGATTAAAATAGTATTAAAAACAGTAATATTGTGAAATATTAATACAATTTTTAAAAACTCTCTTCTATTTCAGTATGTTTTAAAATGTATTACTATAAAGGCACAGCTACATTTTCAGCCATTATTTTAGTCTTCAGTGTCACATGATCCTTCAGAAATGTTTTCAGTTGTTTTTTTGGTTTTTGAAAGAATGAATTAATGGATTGAAAGATGAATAAAAGTTTTAAAACAACAGCATTTACTTGAAATAGAAATCCTTTGTAATCTTTAGTGATAGAAATCTTTTCTGTCAATTTTGATCAATTTAATGCATCCTTGCTGAATCAGAAGTATTCATTTCTAATATAAAAAAAAATCTTACTGACCCCAAAATTTGGTTTATTCCCTTTTTCACCAGCAACATATAGCCTATTCGTTGGGTTTTTTAAATGAGCTTGTCAAAATCACACTCTAAAAAATGCTGGGTTGTTTCAACCCATTGTTGGGTCAAATATGGACTAACCCAACTGTTGGGTTAAAAAGCTAATTTAAAAATGTAACCAAAATTTAACCCAACAGTTGGGTTAGTCCATATTTGACCCAACAATGGGTTGAAACAACCCAGCATTTTTTAGAGTGCACAGTTACATTTGCATTATTTTTCTTGTTTAATTACCATGATTACTCTAGAAAAGGGATACATACTATTAATTTACACATTTAATATTTATATTTACAGATCCTTAGATGAGATCCACATAACAAAATGCAGAACTGTAGTTCAACTGTACTTTTTTTTGCCTATAGTTATGTAACAGCCCTTCCATGTGCATTTGTGGTATCTTGGACACCAAGTGAAAGTATCTGGGTTTGCTTTTTTAGCTCGTCGTAACATAAGTTGAAAGATTGGAGAAATCTGTACACAGACAAGTCTGATAAGCAGCTCTATTACACCAGTCTCATGCTAACACACGTTATGTTGAAGTGTTTTCAGTACTTCAGTATGATAGTTAAATAGTTAAATAACTAGATATTTGATTTTACAATCTGAAGGAGAATTAAAATGATTTTCTGTGGTAAATTCCACATGCTGTGAACTCTACAGTACCTTGGTTGTGTACATTCCCTTTGTTGTGATGTCCTGCTATGTGGAGTTTCAGAGTGCCTTTATGCTGAGATCAGGTCAAGCTGGTTTTTTCACTCTACAGTTGCATATAACCTATAGACCAGACAAATGCTTTTCCTTTCACCGCACCATGAGGTTGATGTCCAACACAGTCTGCTCAGGTTTCTTGGCTTTTTGCTGTTGGGTTTGTTTCTGTGGGTTTTGGTGTTTCAGCTGGAGTGAATTTTTCTTCAGTGGTCTGAGCTGGTAAAAGGACAATTTAAAGTTATGTGTTATATGGAGATTTTCTGAGGTTATGTCATGTTATAAATGTTTTGACTTTGTATATTACATACCAGTTTCTAAATTCTATATTATGTTGGAATTGAATTGTTTGCTTTAATTGGTTGGCTGTTACTTGCAGTGTAGGATTTCTGTAAAATTAATATCACTATTTACATCTTTTTTTTTCTTTTCTTTTTTTGTGGAAACCATAATACATAATAGAATATTTGAAAAAGAATTATTTCTAACAATGTAAAAATGTAAAACTAAAACCTTGAAAACATTTTGTTACTTTATGAAATAAACTAAATATGCATTGTAATTTGAAAATAAAATAATGCATTTCAGCTAGTTTCCAACATTTCTATTTTTTTTGTTTAATTGACTAAAATGAAAATAACTGAGACTAAATAAATAAAAATGAATGACTGTTACTTCCATTGTAAGATTTCTGTATTGTGAATATCTTTTATGTAATTTCTCTGTCATTTTTGTTCAACAGAAAACTGTCCTGTGGGAAGTTCAGAGGTCAAATCTGAGTCCGCCGCATCGCTGCAGCCGCAAACATCGGTGACATCATTGCCGACCGGTTCTCCGGGACCTAAACGCTCTGGAACTACTGGAAACACATTAAAAAAATGGCTCACCAGCCCCGTGCGACGTCTCAGCCACGGCAAGGGCGACAACACTAATGCCAAGAAACCCAACAACAAACAACGTAAACGAGATGGCCGCAAGAGTGTCGAATTGGGACCGGCGCACCAAGACAGCACTGAAGAGGTACAACAATTAACCATTAACTATTTAGGAAACATGCTTGCATAAGATGGCAACGTTTCAACATTCCAACATTGTGATAATACCTCATACCAAACAACGTGTAAAAATGCACTTTCCTTTTAATCTGGGACCACACCTAACATCACATATTTTAGTCTGCTCAAGCATTTGAATGTAAAAGAGCTTCCTCTACAGATGCATGTTTAATGAGAAGTGTGCTTACTGTTGGAGGTTATGAATGATAGATTCCTTCCGGCACTTCAGTGGCGGTTTTAATGAATCCATTGAAATGGGTGTGACGTTTTCTCTGTTTCTCTAAAGAGAGGAAGACGAGGAGTGAACAGCGGAGGAGAGGAGGAGGCTGAAGACGAACCCCACACACCCCTTCCTCCCCCCATGGAGATCATCAAGGACCCCTCCGCTCAGGAGGAGAAGGTGAAACACAGACTTTCTTTAATTTTTTATTGTTGTTTTGCCCTTTTCCTTTTTTGACTCTGCATGCCTCGCCCTGTTTGTTAAAGGAACAGTTCACTAGACATGTGCCGGTATTCGGTAATGCGATATATCACGGTAATGAATATGCACGATATTGTTATCGTGGGCACTTCTAAATACCGTGAATAATTATGTATTACAAATTATTCCGAATTTTGAATGCATTTTAAGAATACTTTTCCCATCAACTGGTCAAAATGCACAACACCGCTGTATGCTGCGTGAAAGACGCGTGCGCTATGTGATGTAAACAAGCGTGGACGAGAAGCGCATGGCGGAACATGTGAGAGACGCTCTGGATGAAAGCGCACTTTCACTCTCTGACAGCAGATGGCGCTAAACTGTAGAAATGCAGCCGTTAAGCCCTGTTCACACCAAGAACGATAACTATAAAGATAACGATATTAGCGTCCACACCAGTGAACGATATCGTCTGTTTATTCTAATCGCACATGCGTCTGCCGCTTTAAATCCTCGATCTCGTTACAGCAGGATGGATTCTGATTGGCTGTCAATTTTTTATCGTTCATCAGCTGGAGAAAAATCGTTTTGAAAGGGATTCCAACGATATCGTTTCTCTTTGTCTTTATCGTTATAGTTGTGGTGTGGACTCTGCTATTCTTTAAAATGGAGAACGATTTTTAGAACTATATCTTTATCGTTATCTTTATAGTTATCGTTCTTGGTGTGAACGGGGCTTTACCCTGGAAACCCTGTAAACAAAGCAGCTGCACTACTTTCTGTTTCTGAATCGTGTTTAAATGATTTAAACAGCCATTCAGATTTGTGTTTTTGCTACGATGTCCGTCACAGCGCCAAATACTTAATATTTAGACTTAATAGGCTATTTATTTTTTAAAAATTGTACATTTTAATCTGGACTACAACATGCCCTAGATATTGTTTGAAAGTGTTTTGATTCTTTATTGTTCGGTCACACTTTACATTAGGGCTTCATTAGTTAACATTAGTTAATTCATTAGTTAACATAAACTGCCAATGAAAAATTCTTCTGAACATTCATTAATCTTAGGTATTCCAATATTTAATATTGGTCATTGTTAAAATCGAAAGTTGCAACTGTGTTATTTAATGAGCTAACATGAACTAAGACTTGTATTTTTTTTAACAAAGATGAATAACTTCTGTAGCAAATGTAGCTATTGCTCGTTGTGAATGTTAATGCATTAACTAAGGTTAACTAATGAGGTCTTATTGTAAAGTGATACCTATTGGTCTTTATAGTTCTTTTGCACTTTAATCTGTGTGAAACTTTTAACTTTATACATGTTTCTGTATTACTTTATTGCATTTAAATGTTCAGTTATTTTTGTTATAAGAAAAAAGTTATTAAACATGTTATACCGTATTATGACAGCACTTTTTTCAAAACTAAATTTCAATATCGCGATAATACCGTATACCGTGATAAAAGCATTAGCAATTAATCGCAACATGAAAATTTGATACCGGCATATCCCTACAGTTCACTAAAAAAAATGAATGGAAATTTTGTCATCATTTACTCATCTTCATATTGTTCTAAACCAGGCATTCTCTGACTGTTTTGTCAGTCGAACTAGTTTGACCTAAATTATTTAGTACCTCCTGAAATTTTAAGTTAATATTTCAATAATTCAACAGTAAATTTGCATGTTCACAGTTCTCTGATATTCGTAAATGGCAACATGAGATGAAGGTAAACTAATAAAATATGTCATCTTTTTAGTAAGTGTTTTGTTTTGATTATGTAAAAAAGTACTTATTTTAATGTTACATTTTTATTATTTTATTAATTATTAGCTTTTCATCAACTCACTTCCTTAACGTTCTTCAGTCAACCAATGGCTTTCTTTCAGATCTTTTAAATGAATCATTTGATTCAGTTCACCAAAGTTTTGTTCAGTAAGACAAACAGGTTTGAAATGACATGAGGATGAGTAAATGATGACAACATTTTTATCTATTCCTTAAACACCTTTTACCTATTGTTTGTGTATCATATCATCCTATCTCGCTTTCTTTTCACTTTCTCTTTCAGACTCCAGAGCCTGGCTCTTTCCCAGTGTTGGGTAGCGTCACACCATCTGATCAGATGCCCAGAGACCCAGAAACAGAGCAGAAGAACAAGGCCATGAGAGGGCGAATGTAAGCATCCGTCTGAGTGTATGACGAGAAGAGAAACTGCTAAATGAATTCAACAACAAATAAAGATTGAAATCTTAGTGTGCTAGGTAGAACATGTGGATGTTCAAGTGTATTCTGATATCTCTCGTATCTCCCCTGTCCACAGGTTTGTGTTAAATGAAATGGTGCAGACAGAGAGGGACTATGTGAAGGATCTGGGTGTCATAGTGGAGGTATGTTATAGGTATATGTTTTCTGTATCACGCTACAGATTTATAAAAGTTACTGGACAGAAATTAAACAGTGATCTGAAGAACGTAGTGTATAATGTGACATCAAGAAACTTTTTTCTAAACTCCAGATAATCGTATACAGTGCAAAATGGTTAATAATAAGATTTTCCTGACCTCAGGTGCCACAAAGAACCATTAACGAAGCTTTATTATGAAGTAGAGTTTCCAAATGTTTGTTTTCCTCTTTTTTCCTAGGGCTTTATGGGAAGGATTGGGGAAAAAGGTGTTCCAGAGGACATGGCAGGGAAGGATAAGATCGTATTCGGGAACATTCATCAAATCTACGACTGGCATAAAGAGTAAACCACATCTCTTTTCATGCTGTCAGAAATTGATACCATCAAAATAATCAGCATGCAAAACGTGCTCGTAACAATTTCCTGGTTGACATTAGCAATAACACACTACAGAAGGAAATGGACTGAATTTCTGAGTTTATACACCTGACAAAATGTTTTCTGTTCTTATTTTTAAAGGTTCTTCCTCTGTGAACTAGAGAAATGTCTGCAGGACCACGACAGACTGGCTGAGCTGTTTATCAAGCATGTGAGTTCATCAAAATGAACTCTGTGTGTGTGTGTGTGTGTGTGTGTGTGTGTGTGTGTGTGTGTGTGT